ACACGCACACACACACCTTCCTTCAACCTGTACCTGTACTTACTACGTATGTACCGGTAGGTAGTCTGGCGCAGCTTGAACCTCCACTCCCCCCCAGCGACGACGGAACCGGAGTGCATGCAGCATGGAAAAAAAGAAGAAGAAAAAAGAAAGAAAAAAGAAAGAAAGAAAAAAGAAAGAAAAAAAAAAAGGCAAAGCAACCAGAGCAAAGCAAGCTTTCCCCACCTCCCCATCGCATGGCGGGGGGGATGGGGGGGTCTGGTTTCAAGCCCAGCCAGCCAGCGGAGCTGCGTCGGAGGAGGGGAGGAGGGGAGGGGGAAGGGGGGCAGTTTACCTATCTGATATCGCCCTGTTTCCAGGCAAGCTTTTGCCCTTTGCGTAGGGAGGTACGTAGCGGCGGTTAAGTAAGTGTCGTGACCGTCGTCGTCGTCGTTGTCGTTGTTGAGCCACTGCCGCGTTCTTTAACTTACGTGGTAGGAGTAGTAGTAGTAGTAGTAGTAGTACCAGGTAACCGGGTCCTGCTGACGTGAGGTTCTTGACAGTGCCGTGTCTGGCGATCGCGGTTATTGCCTACCTAAGCGGGTAGGGAGTGCGGTAGTAGCCGTGGGTCGACGAGGACTGCGATACGTGAACGCTGTAGCTTTGTACGTAGAGGAGAGAGAGAAAAGGAAAAGGAAAGAAAAAAGAAGAGGGGGAGGGAGGGGGAGAAGAGGGAAGAAGAAGGGCTGGTGGATAGGATAGGATAGCATCGCTCTCGCAGGACTACAGGGCTATAATGGTAATCGTCGCCATGGCTACTAGCCTTCTCGTTCTTCTTCTTTTTCTTCTCCTTCTTCTTCTTCTTCTTCTTCTCCCAGCTCCCCCAGTCCCAACGACCCATACCGTACCACCACACCACCTCCCCTCCATCTCCCAACCCAGCTCGCCTCGCGCCGAGCGTACCGTATAACCGTCTCCCTCCAGCCCCAGCTCCACCACCTACTGTAGTGCTCAATTAACGGGAGTCCCCAACAGCCATACCGGTCGGTACCCAGGTACCCAGGTACCCAGGTAGTAGTACATTTCTGCCTTCATCCGTACGTACCTACCGTAACCGACTTGCATACCCCCAATCCCCTGCCTGCCCGAGACCAGAAAACGGCTTTACCTTTTTTTTTTACCTTTTTTTTTTCTTCTTTTTTTGTTTTTTTGTTTTTCTTCTTTGCCTCTTTGCCTCTTCCTTTCCTTTCCTTTCCCGTTTTATCCTCTGGGGAGGCGAGAATAAGCTTTTTGGGGAGGACCTTGGAAGGTTGGGGAGGGACGCGCGGGTGGGGGGAAAGGGGAAGGGACGTGGGAGGGGGCATGGATAGGTAGGTAGGTAGGTAGGTAGGTAGGTAGTTTCCTATAGATACAGTACCTTCCTACCTACGCCTCGAACATACCGTATAATAGAATAATAATAATAATAATAATAGTAATAGTAGTACTTACTTACTTACTGACTTACTTCGCGCACGATTTTCCAAGGACACCTTTACTTAGTTACTTAGTTACTTACCTACCTCAATACTTATCTCGATCCCAATGCCGCTCGCTCGCGCAGCCGGATCCTGGGAACCCAGGGAGGTAGGTATTTTCCAGCCCGTGGTCTTTCACAGTCTTTAGGATCACTCGTGCAGATAGGTAGGTACAGTGACGACGAGGGACATACCGGTACCAAGCTCGATATCATGTTCGGATCCAGTATTGGGGAGAGCAGAGCCCATTCATCTTTCTCGCTGAAGTTTTTTTTCTTGAAAAGAGGGCCCTTTTCGGCGCCGTGACGACAGCTGACTACCGTACCTATCAGTAATCAATACTTACTTACCTATACGCGGATGGGTAACCGAGGAGGCGGAAGCTGCACTCCGGAAAAATATGCTGCGTAGGTAGTCTTTTTTTTTTTNTTTTTTTTTTTTTTTTTCGNGCTCGATAGACTACATACATATATTGTACAAGTACGACGAACTAGGTACCTAACTAATAACTAATGTAAACGATTGCTTTCCCCCCTTGCACCCTTCTCTCACACACACACACACACACACACACACACGATTCCCAGCACCTCTGCTTATACTGACTGCACTTTATTCTTATATCTGCTTCTCTTAGAACTACGTGCAAATCTCGCACTCAATCGAATCGAATCGAATCGAATCGAGTAAAATAAAACCGAATCGAATCAAACCGAATCGAATCGATCGAATCGAAATCCAACTTCGATTCATTCACTATCCTTCTTATTTGAATTTAATAATTATCTTTCTACTAGGTCATTTCGCGATTTACTACTACTATCACCACCACCACCACCACCACCTTCTTCCTCCCCCCTTTCTCCCTCGCTTATCACTAAATTCCAACATCGAACCCAAATCCATCTTCCATCTTCGGTTTTCCCTCTTCCATCTTTTATTTTTTATTTTCCACCTTCTACCTTCCACCTTCAACCTTCCACCTCCGCACAGTACAGCACAATACAGCACAATACAAACCATCCTTCCCCCCCCCCCACCCACACCACCTAAAGCCTCCATCTCCCCCTTCCTCCCCAAAACACAACGTATCCACCGGTCCTCGCGCTCACAGCCCGGCCCCCGCGGCACTGATCAGACTCTACTGTAACTAACTCTGCTGCGCGAGGTACGTGCTGCTACTGCGGAGACTGGAAAGCGCACTCGTTGGGGGTGCTTGCTGGGAGTGGGGGTTTAGGAGATACGGCTTGCTGGGAATGGGTTTAAAAAGATGGATGGATGAGTGGATGGATGGATGGATGAATAGATAAATAGATAAATAGATAAATAG